TGCAACGCGACCAGGGACCCTCACGACCTGCCAGACGACCCGCCACCAGACTGCGCACGCTGGTGAGAGGGATAGTACGGCTGCGCCGCTGCGGCGGCAGCAGCCGTCGCCAGGGCGGTAGCAGTCGCTGGGTATAATGGCCCTCCGCCGCCGCCACCGCCATCGCCACCAACACCAACACCAACACCGCCTGCCGAGCCGCTTCCCCCCGAACCAAATTGCTGCAAGGCAAACACGGGTGACTCTGGGCACGGCTGCGAGGGCGGCCTCGATACGCCTGCATGGCTTGAGCCGCCGCTGGCCGTGCGGCTGCTGTTCCGAGAGTGGTCGCGTCGCTGCGGCATTGCAGGGGACCCCGCCACCCCCATAGTCCCCACAGGTGGCGGCGGCGGCAACACCATCATGGCCTGGCTGTCGTAGTTCAGCTCAGTCCAAGTCATATCGAAATCGCCGCCGCCGGCGCCACCACCGCCACCGCCGCCGCCAGCTACCGCTGACGCGACAGAACGCCACATGGCCCCCGCTGAACCCGTCGCAAGGTCGCCCCCGCCAGCGGCGCCAGAGGCTGCAACCCCGTGAAGGGGGCTGTTACTGACTGGGACGGAGAAGTACATGCTACTCCTCCCCGACGCCGCGGTGCTGCCGGCGCTCGTCCCTTGTGTGTCGGTGCTCATGCCGCGGGTGTGCATGGCGGCCGGGGGAACTGTGCCGTGTGAACCGGGAGCTAGCGGCGGCAACCCCGGCGGTGATGATGATGGTGCTACAGGTGCCTGGATATTCATCAAAAATGGTGATGCGCATCTATTTTCATCAAGTAATAGTCAAGGCAGGAAGGAAAAGGCATAAAAAGATGCATTCCGAGTATGTAGTACTGAATCCGCAAACCCGAAGTCCCGGCCAGTCCTCCCTTCAGCCATCTACTTCAGCCTCTTGGCCTCTCCCGACCTCTCGGCCAGAAGCACTGTCGTCAGACAGACAGATAGACAGACAGACAGACAGACAGACAGACAGACAGACACACACACACGCGGCCACTGGTCGCCTGCACGTACCTTGTTCCCCATGTCGAAGGTCAGCTCGTACATCTCCGCCAGTGTCGCCCTGTGCATGTTCCACCAGGCCTGGCCTTGAGACTGCTCCGTGAACATCTTGCGATTGAAGCGAACCTTGACCAGCCGAACCGGGCCGCCTTTTTGTGCCGGTGGCTTCAACGTGATGTAGACGCCCTGCTCAGCAGTTCGTCAGCAGTTCGCCATGCATGTGGTGGTTTGGGGTAAGTGGATGGGGTATGTGGCGGTAAGCA